AGTTCCAACAACCATTCTGGGTAGCAGCCTTTCCTGCTGTATCATCTCCACTGTGCTGAAGTTTCCAGCATTGAGCTCTCTTGTGCCCAGGTTTGTTACAGTGCCAGCAAAGTCCCTCAAACTTCTTTGAAAGCTGACCTTTTCTGGCCTTGAATCCAGATGACTGTACCAACCTCGGTACCTCTGTGCTGGACTTAACGTAGGATTCAAATTCGAGAGCTCTGGCCATTGCATCCTGCATGGTAGAGGGGTGTGCTTGCTTCACTTGTATCTTAAGTTGTGGACTGTCCAAGGCATCTACAAACTGATCCTTCAGCAACAACTTGAGGAGATTGGGTGGTGCAGTTAAATAGGCCTTGTGTGCCATGCTTTCGAAGTCCTGTTCCAGCTCTTGCAGGCTTTCCCCTTTAGCACGGACTATCGTCCTGAACCTTGCCCTGTAGACTTCTGACTGATTTTGGGTTCTGTACCTGAGTTCTAGAGCCGCTACCAGTGCTCTATAGTTGTGCCTGTCATCTGCTGACAACTGTCCAAGTATTTCCGGTGGTTGTCCCTTCAAGCTCGTAGCCAGATATACTGCTTTCTGCTCCTCTGTCCATCCATTCATCTCTGCCAGTAGCTCAAATTGTGCTCTATATGCTTCCCAAGGTGCCTTCCCATCGAATTGCTGTGGCTTCCTTTGCACTGGGTCACTCCTATTACTGACATTCATATCTGGGATGTGACTTCTAGCAGGACTGAAGATGTCTGCATTACGGTTTAGCTGCATGGTCTGGAAGGGGCTTGCCATTGTTTGAGGCTGGTTAAGTCGATGGCTAATGTATCCTACTTGTGTAAATGATAATATATCGTCCTTTAACGTATCTAATTCGCTTTTAAATTTACTAATGTTTTCCATTTGTACTTCTTGCCACTGTTGTTGGCTTTTCTGTAGTTTCTGCTGACTTTCTTCCTGTTTCCTTTCTTGCTCCAGTTGCCACTGCTGTAATTTTTCTTCTTGTTTCTTTTCTTTTTCCTCCAACCACTGCTGTAATTTCTCTTATCGTTCTTCTTGTTTGTTTTCTTTTCCTCCAACAACTGCTCTAATTTCTCTTCTTGTTTCTTTTCTTTTTCATCCAACATCTGTTGTAATCTCTCTTCTTGTTTATTTTGTTGTTCGGGCTGCCACTGTTGCAGGTTTTCTTGCAACTCCTGTTGTCTCTCTTCTTGTTCCTTTTCTCGTTCTTTTTGTTTCTTTTGCTGCTCTTGTATTGCTGCCATCAAGTCTGCTAAGCTGTAGTTTGATTTGCCGCCTCTCGTTTCCATTTTTTTCTTTTCCATCCCACTCTCTGACACCAATTTGTTACGTCTCCGTTCGTTCGTTAATTTTCCGTAAATTCGTTCCGACGAAACTCTAGCGACACAAGTCCTTTCTTAAATAAAACTTTTTTATTCTTTCCGAATACAACTTTACGATACACTTAATGTCAACAGTCGCTCTATAACAACGCTATAACTCACGTCTCACGTGGCCAACAATATTTTGTCCGCATACATTCAATTACTCATTACCTCCCCGTCGCTTCGTGGCTGGTTTTATATATATAAGACTACACTATATCTAGAAAGATCACGAGATTTAAGGAAAAGACGTGAAAGTTCAAGAATGACGTGGCGTGATACTAGTCACGTGACCTCGATGTCGTAACAATATAATACAAAATTTTACTGAAAAAAAACACGTTTTAAATGTATTTAGAAGATTTTAGGGAAATTTGATATGAAGAAAAGATATTTTTAATCTTAACATGACAATTTCTTTGCATATGGACTATTCAAAACAAATATGTTCATGGACAAATCTTTATTATAGTTTATTAAAAATACTTCACTAAAAATGATTTTTTATGTGACAGATTTGTAATATTAACTGAAAGACTGCCAAATTTGGAGAAGATATACACACTATATTGATAGTTAGAAGTATTAAATATAGAAAAACTTTAAACCAGTACAAAAAGGTCGTGGTTGGTGAAATTGACGCGCCAGTGATCATATACATGCGCGTTGGCCGAACCTCGCATAATTGAATTGTCTGTGTTTGGCAGATAATTGTTTGCCTTTATTTTTGCGTGTTTAAGCGAAGCTGTGTTGGAAGATCCTGCGTTGTAAGAGGGTTTACTGGACTGGCAAGAAATTTTCCAGTTGTGTAGTGTGTGTGGTAAACAATTTGTAAGTAAAAATAACTTAAATACTCATGAGAAGATACATAACTGGCAAGAAGCTATACAGTTGTGTAGAATGGAGTAAACAGTTTGTAAATGAATGTAATATAATGTGTTATGAGCAGGTACATACAGGAGAGAAGCCTTACAATTGTGCAATGTGTGGCAAAGAATTTGTAAGTAAAAATTTTTACGTCTCTGGTCGTTTGTTAATTTCCCGTAAAAATTCTTCCCGAGAAACTTCAGTGATACAAGCCCTTTCTTAAATAAAATTAGTTTATTCTTCCTCAATACAACTTTGCAATACGCAGAATTTCCACAGTCACTTTCACTTAAACACACGCTATAATTCAAAATGATTTACACACTTTACTTACGGCTTCACTTGATTATCCCCATTATCAATTTATCTGCTGGCTTATATACTAAAAATAGAGCGCGTCCAGCAAACGCTAGGACATTTAACAGGTTCCCCGATCTTTCTAGAACTCCAGGGCATGTTCCCAGAATCGCACGACTTCCGCTGTTGTAATACTGCTTTTTCCTTGGTGTTGTTACGTTTGTGTTCGTTTGTTAATTTTTCGTAAAAATTCTTTCCAAGAACTTCAGTGATACAAGTCCTTTCTCAAATAAAACTAGTTTATTCTTTCTCAATACAACTTTGCAATACACTTAATTTCCACAGTCACTTTAACTTAAACACACGCTATAATTCATAATGATTTACACACTTTACTTACGGCTTGACTCGATTATCTGTCTATATCTTCAATCTCTCTGTCTGTTGTTCCAGTTCCAATTAGTCTCATGTTATCCGGTGCACATATATACAGGAATAGAGGGCGCCTAGCACATACTGGATTATTCGTGATGTTCCCCGATCCTTCTGGAATATCATGACGTGTTACCAGCGTCACGTGACTACCGCTGTCGTAACACTGCCCCTTCCCAAACAATAGCCACTTACATTAAACCAATAAACAATTAACAATAACTTAATTAAATGTACAGAATTTACAAGCACAAAATTAAAATTCAACAAAGTCTCTTAATTTTACGGGACGTATCTTCTTCCACACTGGTCTCTGTCTTGTTGGCTTCTGCTTCATCAGGAAACGTCCTATCATTGGTAACAGTCACATCAGTAATAGTAACTTCATCAAGGGCTTCACTGTTTCCCTTCTCAAAACCGGGTAGAGTTTCTTTTTCGACAGTGGCTTTTTCAGGTGACACGTCTTCAGTATTGTCATTTGTTCTGTTGTTCTCTTCATCCCAACTGAAATGTCCTGGACCATGATAACGCCAAAGCCTGTTGCCATGCACCACCTTTGGCTTACCTCGCCGACCACATTTTATCCGGAAAGTCACATCTGAGAGACGATCCACTATGTCATATGGGCCTTCCCATAGAGAAGAGAACTTAGGAGACTTCCCTTTGATCTTCCTGGGATTATACAACCACACCTTGTCTCCTGGTACAAAGCGAACTTCAGTAGATCCCTTATCATAAGATAACTTCATCGAATCAGCAGAAGTTTTTAAGTTTGAGCACACTTGATGGTGAATATCATCCATCCTTTCCGTTAACACTTTCACAAACTCTGACACATTTTCAGGAAACTCTTCATAAGGTGGGCGTCCTGCTAACAGATCCACTGGCAGCCGAAGTTCCCGACCAGACATCAACTTTGCTGGAGTGTATCCAGTGGCTTCATGCTCTGCTGTCCTATAAGCCATCAGCAGTGGAGATAGTAAGACATCCGAGTCATCTTGGCGACTATTACAAAACATTTCCAATTCCTGTCCCAGTGTCCAGTTGTACTTTTCTACCATCCCATCAGACTGTGGATGAAGTGGCATTTTCCTGTTCTTTCGAATGCCAAACAACTTGCAGCATTCTTGGAACACAGCTGACTCAAAGCTACGGCCTTTATCTGAATGCAGTTCATATGGCATACCAAATCTAAAGAAGAAATCACTAGTAGCCGAAGCTACAGTTGTAGCTTCCTGATTTGGTATTGCATATGCCTCAGGCCACTTGGTGAAATAATCCATCACCACACAAATTTACTTGTTTCCAGCACGAGTTTGGGGCAGAGGACCGGCAATGTCAATGGCTATACTTTCCATTGGTGCACCAACTTGATATAACTTCATTGGAGCACGTCCCTTATGCATGTTCTGCACCATTCTTCCACATCTTGTCTCATACCTATTCAGTAAAATTGGTGTCGTAGGTGACTAAATGTTTTCTTAACTCCGAGATGTCCTCCTGTTACAGTATCATGGGATTAACGCAACACAACTTTCCTCAACTTTCTCGGTATAACCGTTTGCCAGGTCGTCATTATCCCATCTGCAATTTCCCACCAGAGAAGAATACCATCTTCAAGCTTCAGCTGGTCCCAATGTGCCCAATAGTTCTTTGTCACAGGGCTTAGACTAGACACCTTCTCCCAAGCAGGGTGCAAAACACTTGCTTTTAGAATTTATTGGCTTCAAATCTTGGCCTTTCTCCTGCTCTGATTTAATATCTATACCTGGTTCCCCTTCATCATCATCAACTCCTTCAGTCACTTTGACTTTAGCTTGATGTTACCTGGTTAGTTCATCCTCTCTTTTACAGCAATGTCTGCAATAATTTTTGCAGGGTTTTCGACTCAGTCCATCGGCAAATTTTAGCGTGTGTTTAAGTTAAAATGACTGTGGAAATTCTGTGTATTGCAAAGTCGTATTGAGGAAGAATAAACTAGTTTTATTTAAGAAAGGGCTTGTATCGCTGAAGTTCCTCGGGAAAAATTTTTAGGGGAAATTATCAAACGAACAGAGACGTAACAAAATGATAGTTTAATTTATTAACAATTACTGATGCAAATTGATGAGTTTTGATAGTAACATGTTTCAAGATACTTTTGGTTATTTCAATGTAGCCAAGTATCTTAGCATATTGCATTAAAGTTTTGTCGTATTTTGAATCTCAGTCTCCAAGTTTATTCTTTATTCTTACAATAAACTTCTTTGAATTAGTCACTTGTGTACTCCACTCGCAACTGTATACTTGGATTTAATAAAATCTCTTGTAACTGGATTTAAAGTCAAACTCAAAAGATTAGCCAATACAGCCACCTGTTACGGTTGATCATAGCAATCTTTTAATACTGTGTCCGATAAACATGTTGACTGGCAAAAATATTTTAAAGTGCTCTTTTAAAAGGTATACATGTAACTTAAATATCTCGAAATGTCATAATTTAGACAAAATAAAACTATTCTGTTATGAACATGATAAAAGAATAAATAGAATATTGATAAACAATCTTAATACAAACTCAGTGATTACTTTCTTCACCATAAAAAATTATGAAACTGGAGGTTTGGAGACGTTGAAGTTTCAGAATCCAGAAGGCTGTAAAATGGTACAAAGTCAAATCCATTGAAATCAATCACAACAGCACATTCTCAGTACATGTTTACCAAGTTCATGCATTAGTATAAGGAAACTGGTTCTAATCAATAACTAATGTCTGTACAAAGAAAAACTGTTAGTTATTTTACAGAGACAATGACTGTTCTGTACTTTGATTCCCTTCAGGTTTACTTTTATCGTACTATTACATACAATAGTTTACAAATAAAAGTAACAAAGTTAGATCTGTACACCTTAATCTTGTCTCTCGTGGTTCAACAACTTATAAACAACTACCACATTCAGTAGTAGTTACTGTGTGTTCCAAGTTCTTCACAACACAGTAGACAACAGTATTGTTTTTCTCAAGTGTGTATTCTCTGAATAATTTTTAATTTATTATTTGTTCCAAATGGTTTTCCACAAACTGCAAAACTGTATAGTTTCTCTTCAGTGTGTACTATAAGTATTATTTTTATTTACATTCTTTTTTGAAAATTGCTTTTCACAAACTTCACAACTGTATGGTTTCTCCTCTATTGTATATTTTTCATGTTTTTAATTCCCCATTTATTCTAGTTTTCCACAAATTGCACAACTGTACGTTTCTTCCCATTATGTATCATCTGATGTATTTTTAATTCAGAAGTTATTACAACTGTATTACACTCTTTGTACCAAAATGTCCTAAACTGTACAACTGTAAGGTTTTTCCCAAATGTGTAATTTCCAATGTATTTTTAAACTATAGTTTATTCTGAAGCGTTTTCCACTGGTTCGACAATTCATATTTCAGCAGGACAATGATTCGAAGCACAAGGCCAAAGCCACACTGCTTTCAAAGGAAGAAAGTGAATGTCCTGGAAGGCCCAGTCAAGGTCCTGACATGAATTAAATGGACAATTTGTAGCTAGACTTAAAGACTGCAGTGCATTAACAATTACCAAAGAATGGGCAAAAATTACACCATCTCATTGTGCAAAGCTGGTAGAGACCTATCAAAAAGACTTACAGGGAACTGAATACTTATCCAATCAGCAAATTACAATTTATATATTTTTCTGACATTCAACCTCCTTAACACATAACAATGTCAAGTTTCATTATTGGATAAAAACAAGTTTATTGTTTAAATTATTCCAAAATGTGACATTATATAAGGTTTCTCACCAATATGTATTCTTTTATGATTTTTTAAGATAGAGTTACATCCAAACTGTTTTCCACACACATCACAATGACAAGGTTTCTCAAACGTGTGTATTCTTTGATGTATTTTTAGTTCTCTATTTGTTAAAGTCTTTTCTACAAAGTGTACAGCTGTAAAATTTCTCCCCAGTATGTCTTCTTTCATGTTTTTTTAATTCAGCATTTGTTCTAAAGTATTTTCCACAACTTGCACAACAGTAAGGTTTCTCCCCAGTATGTGTCTTTTGATGATATTTTAAGGAACAGTTTGTTGTAAATTTATTTCCACACACTTCACAACTATATGGTTTCTCCCCAGTATGTATTCTTTTATGATACTGTAAATAAGAATTACGTCCAAACTGTTTTTCACAAACATCACAATGGTAAGGTTTCTCTCCAGTATGCGTTCTTTGATGCAGTTTTAATTCACCATTTGTTCTAAAGTATTTTCCACAAATTGCACAACAGTGAGGTTTCTCCCCAGTGTGTATTCTTTGATGCATTTTTAATTCAGCATTTGTTCTAAAGTCTTTTCCACAAATTGCACAACAGTAAGGTTTCTCTCCAGTATGCAGTCTTTGGTGTATTTTTAGTTCATCATTTGTTAAAAAGTCTTTTCCACAAACTACACAACTGTAAGGTTTCTCCCCAGTGTGTATTCTTTCATGCTTTTTTAAGCTACTACTTGTTCCAAAGTGTTTTCCACAAAGTGCACAAGTGTAAGGTTTCTCCCCAGTATGTATTCTCTGATGCGTTTTTAAGCTACCATTTGTTACAAAGAGTTTTCCACAAATCGTACAACTGTAAGGTTTCTCCCCGGTGTGTATTCTCTCATGTAATTTTAAGCTATAGTTTCTTCCAAAGTTCTTTCCACACACTATACAAAGATATGGATTCTCTTCAGAATGTATCCTTGTGTCTTGCTTTCCATAATCCACCGTTACAGATAGTTTTTCACAGATTACCTGACTGTGTGGTTTATCTATACCGTGGTGTATATCAGATTGTTTTAGGTTATTTATATTTAAATTCTTTTCACATATATCACTTGGTTTTGGAGAGTTGATGTCTTTTGTAAAGGGATCTTCTTGTAATAAAACACGAGATTCAGGAAACTGACTTCCACAACAGATTGTCACACCAGTCTTTATATCTAAAATCAAAATACATAATACAACAATCATAGTTAATAACCGATGTATATCACTTTATTTGGTGAAGTTCTAATACAATCAACACAGATACTGAAACATTAAAGGCAAAAAAATAGATATAACAATTTTCATAGTTTCACATTTTTTCTTCTTACTTGATTGATCATCATGAAACATTCTAACATGTTGATTAATGTTAATATTTTAAAAGTTCCTGTTATATATACAATAATGAAACATTGAATAAAATTATTAAACATTTTGTTATAAATATGAAAATGTATTAAGTAAATATTAAGAAGTAAAGATGAAGTCTCTACATTAAGTTTCAATAAGTATTTTTAGTTGTTTAAACAATCTGTTTATATGAATGAACACCTTATCACAAAATAGAAACTCGGATAAAGTCTGAAAATTGGTAATTACATGTAAACTATACATGTAAAGTACTGGGTGGTGGTTGGAAGTTATACTAGTTTAGATAAGTTGGTTTGGCTTTTATACATGTATCATTTGTCTACAGTAGTTCTAATTCACTTGTTTACTAATAATGGAGGCTGGAATGTCAACATTAGGATGTAAATTTACACCCAGTGGTATAACCTTATTTTTCTTTTTCCTGTTTATTCTATCTTATTACTTTGGAGAGCAGTCACTTTCCCACAACTGTCTGGATGCTGTGAAGGGTGATATTGATGCGGGATATTGTGGGTTTGAGTGCCCACGTCTCGCTCTCCTAATTTATGTGTTTTGAGAATTTTTTCTTTACCACGTGAGATGAATGGAGATTAACTCTATCCACATGGGTCATGGGTCAAAGGCCATGTCATCACATTTGTTAACTAGCATCAAAAATGTTATTGTACTAGTATTTTATGAATAGATATCAATATGTTTAGTATCAAATTGTAGATTATAATTCAAATTTTAGTATTATTTAATTTCTTAATTTAATAGTAAACATTAGTAAAAACACCTAAATATTGGTTTTTGTGTGTCATTTAAATTGACTGTCATGACAGGAGATTTAGAAGATTATAGAAAATCAAAAAAGTTGGTGAAACAGGAAATTAGGATATCAAAAAGGATGTATGAGAAAAGGTTGGCTGAAAATGTAAAAATTAACAGTAAGGATTTCTTTAAATAGTTAAGGGTAAAAAAATGTTAGAATGGGGTAGAATGAGATGGCTGGGTTACAACATTTTGCATTTTCTTTAGATTTTATTGATGAAGATTTAAGCAGTATTCCACATACTGAACAGTTGATAAATGGGAATATAATGAAAAAAAATGATCACATTAATTCAGAGCTTGTTAGGAAAAATATGGAAGTTTAAAGAATAATAAAGCTCCTGGTCCAAATAATACTTCACCAAGAGATTTGAAGGAAGTGAAGAATTGGATATGTGAGCCACTTGCTACTATTTTTTGTCAGTCCTTGAATAGTGGGCAAATAACAGAGGACTGGAAGTTAGCTAATGTAACTCCCCTCCTTCAAGGGAGACGACAGAAATTGTCCCAGGAATTATAGACCTATTAGTCTTATATCAGTTGTGGGAATAGGTTTGAAAAGTCTGTTAACCATTTCGAGATGGGTCACAGATGAAAGGCCATGTCATCTCGTTTGTTGATTCTCATTCAAAATTATATTGAACTAGTATTTCATGAATTTATGTCAATAAGTTTGGTATCAAACTGTAGATTATAATTCAAATTTTAGAACTATGCATTACTCAATTTGTTAATTTAAAAGTAAATATAAAAAACTAGGATAAACATCAATTTTTGTGTGTCAAGTGGTATGTTGCATGCAGCAATGGTTCAAATTAGATGTTTGTGATGTCCAAATACAAAGTCTATAGTTTCTTACAAATTAAGAACTCAAATTACTGATATTAACAAGCTAGAATATCAAATATGAACCTCCTATCTTTTCTATTTGCCAAGATGTTGCTACATGTAATAAATCAAACACAGTAGCACCACTCACGTCTTTCCATTTTTGGAAAGACGTGCTTACATAAACTTACTTCTGTCTACATCTGTTTAGAAACGAAAGCTCAGAGTGTACCCTACTAGTTTTCTCAGTACAATTAAATTATTCAGGTCTTTTAGATTCAAAAAAGTAAGATTAAACTTTAGTGAGTACAATATTTAATATTTTTCTGAACCCAAATACAGCTTAGTACCTAAGCTTGATAAATTATAGTGGAATTCTGTGGTACTGATACAGTAATTTATGATTTTTGGTTATTTCAAATGTATATATATAAAACTTAGGAAAAATTATTTAGTAACACATCCTCCACATGTGAATTTTGATAAAACCTACAGCAAGCAGCAACCAAGTACCAAGTTCATAACTAGAATATATACATTTATATATTTGCTTAAGATATAATTGTTTACTATACATATTTATTTGCTGTTTTATGTTTTAAGAAAAATAACTGAAATTTAAGAACGTTTTTGCAAATAGTAATAACCATATTATAATAAGTAATTATAATATAATGTATTGTTAAGTATCTGCATGTTTGTTAATTTCCGGTAGAAATTCTTTCTGAGGAACTTCAACGATACAAGCCCTTTCTTAGTTAAACTAGTTTATTTTTTTCTCGATACAATTCTGTAATACGCAGAATTTCCAATCAGTACGTTAAACTTAACTACTTTTATAACACACGCTATAAATCACAGTAATTCACACACTTTACTTATGGTGCCTACTGTTTGCTTCACTCAATTATCTATATCTTCAATCTATCTACATATCTATCTATCACTGGCTTTCTTTGCCAGGTATATATACTAAAAAAGACAGCGTCTAGCAAACACTCAGATATTCACGGGTTCCTTGATAATTTGAGAAACTCCAGTGCGCATGCTCCCAGCATCACGCGACTACCCCTGTTGTAACACTGCCCCTTCCTTAGTATTGTTCGTCCTGAACAATAGCCACTTAAATTAAATTAACAGATAATTAACAATAACTTAATTAAAATGTACAGAATTTACATCACAAAATTAAAATACAACAAAGTCTCTAAATCAGGACGTTTCTTCTTCCTTACTGGTCTAATTCTCATTGGCTTCTGCTTCACGTTGGGTTCATCTGCTTCCACAGTCTGATGGGATGGTAGAAAAGTACAACTGGACAGGAATTGGCAAAGTTATGTAATAGCTGCTAAGATGACTGGGATATATTACTCTCTCCACTGTTGATGGCCTATAGAACAGCATAGCATGAAGCCACTGGATACACTCCAGCAAAGCTGATGTTTGGTCGGGAACTTCGGTTGCCAGTGGACCTGATAATGGGACGCCCACCTTACGAAGAGTTGCCTGAAAATGTGTCAGAGTTAATGAAAGTTTTATCTGAAAGGATGGATAATATTCATCATCAAGTGCGTTCAAACTTGAAAACGTCTGCTGATTCCATGAAGCTATGTTATGATAAGAAGTCTACTAAAGTCAACTTTGTACCAGGAGATAAGGTGTGGTTGTATAATCCTAGGAAGACCAAAAGGAAGTCTCCTAAGTTGTCTTCTCCGTGGGAAGGCCCATATGACATTGTGGATCGTCTCTCAGACGTGACTTTCCGAATAAAATATGGTCGGCGAGGTAAGGCAAAGGTGGTGTATGCCAACAGGCTTTGGCATTATCACAGTCCAGGACATTTCAGTTGGGATGAAGTGAACAATGGAACAGGAACAAAAGACGCTGCTGAAGACGTGTCACCTAAAAAAGACACAGTCGAAGAAGAAACTCTATCCGGTTTTGAGAAGGAAAACAGTGAAGCCGATAATGAAGTTACCACCACTGATGAGACTGTTACCGATAATGGGACATTTCCTGATGAAGCAGATGAACCCCACGTGAAGCAGAAGCCAATCAGACGGAGACCAGTACGAAAAAAGATATATCCTGTAGAATTAAGAGAATTTGCTGTATTTTAATTTTGTGTTTCTAAATTCTGTACATTTAATTAAGTTATTGTTAATTATCTATTGGTTTAATGTAAGTGGCTATTGTTTGGGGTGAACAATACTAAAGAAAGGGCAGTGTTACGACAGCGGAAGTCACACGACACTGGGAGCATGCGTGCTGGAGTTTCTAGAAGGATTGTGACTTAGCAGGCAACCTCACGAACGTCCCAGCATTTTCTAGGCACCCTCTTTTTTTTGTATATAAGCCCGGCAAATAAAGCAGAGACATAATGACAGATAAACAGAGAGATTGAAGATATAGATAATAGAGTCAAGCGAGCAGTAGGCACCATAAGTAAAGTGTGTGAATCACTGTGAATTATAGCATGTGTTTATAAAAGTAGTTAAGTTTAAAGTGACTGTGGAAATTAAGTGTATTACAAAGTTTGTAACAAGAAAGAATAAACTAGTTTTAATTAAGAAAACTCATATTGCTGAAGTTTCTCAGAAAGAATTTTTATGGGAAATTAACAAACAAGCAGATACGTAACAATATAACAAGCACAAAATGGTTATAAGGTCAAGCCTGTGCTGAAATAGTTAAGACTGGTAAATCCCCACCTCAATGTGGATTCTACTTCTACAGTTAACTCCAAAACACAGGACATTTTATATCCTACATTATAGCCTGTACACTGGGATTATTTTAATTTATGCAACATCTTGAATTTTGTTTGGGCCTGTTTTTTTCATTAATATGTCATTCATCAAAGGTTTCAATTTCCTGTTTTTAACTCAGTCCTCTGTTTTGGTGTTGATTTTTACATGTTAGATAAACATCTATAAATGCCAAGATTTTCAAAAAATGAAACTCTTTATCATTATGTTATATATATTCTGTTATAAAGTTAAGGTGGATTTCTTTTACTGTATCTTTAGCAAGTGTTCAAAAAATCAAATCTATAGAAATCAATCACTGCAGTACTTTCTGTACACATGTTAAAAAACAAACAATGAAGATAAACTGTTCAGTTAAAAAGTTTCTTGCTGTTTAATTGTTCAACAGAAACAATGTCTATTCTCTCCTTCCATTCACAGGTAAACTTAATTGTTTCAGTTGTTTTGTAGTCATTTTAACAATTCAAGTGATAATCCCCAAGTAAAGACATCAAAAACAGAAAAAACAAACAATGAAGATAAACTGTTCAGTTAAAAAGTTTCTTGCTGTTTAATTGTTCAACAGAAACAATGTCTATTCTCTCCTTCCATTCACAGGTAAACTTAATTGTTTCAGTTGTTTTGTAGTCATTTTAACAATTCAAGTGATAATCCCCAAGTAAAGACATCAAAAACAGAAAAAACAAACAACAGATCTATACATCTCAAACTAATATTTTCTTAATTGGTGCAATAACTTAATTTTAAGATTACCAAGAATTCATCCATTTCTTTAACAT